CTCTCTCTCTCTCTCTCTCTCTCTCTCTCTCTCTCTCTCTCTCTCTCTCTCTCTCTCTCTCTCTCTCTCTCTCTCTCTCTCTCTCTCCCCCTTTGTGAACATTCTCTCTATAGTGTCTGACACCAAACTCGGCAAACTGTCTCAAGCACACAAACTGAAACAGTCCCACCGGGTCCAGGTCAGGCAAAGCAGCAGTAGTCGTAGTGGTGGTGGCGCTGGCGGCGGTGGTGGTAGCGGCAGCAGCAGCAGCAGCAGCAGTAGGGCACCCGAAGAAAAAAAGCACTACCTCTTGGGAGCGACTCTGTGTGACGCACTGCACTAATCAGGACTGTCTGACACCACTTGCTGTCAGACTCCCCATCATTGTTGTCGCTGGTGCAGTTGTCCCCCACGGTCAGATGGTCATCAATTATCTTTGGCCTTCTCCTCACCCCTTGATGTCTGTTCCACTCTCCTCTTGTTTGTGCCAGTAGGAGAAGACTCTGCAATTGCCTTCCTCTGTTTTCCAACATACTGGTGGCAAGGTGGTTGTGCTACATGTCCTCAAGCAAGGGTGGGAAGTCCAGTTTGGAGGATGCAGCAGGGTGTGGCGCAGAGGTGTTCCTAATGCCAGTGCTCTGTCCCCCACGTTCTCCACCTGCCAGTGTTCCTCCTCTTCTCCCACCTGCTCTCTACGCGCTGTTCCTCCTCTTCCTCTTCTCCCACCTGCTCTCCACTCGCTGTTCCTCCTCTTCCTCTTCTCCCACCTGCTCTCTACTCGCTGTTCCTCCTCTTCTCCCACCTGCTTTCCTCTTGCTGCTGCTGCGGTGGCTCCTGTTTGTCCTCCTCTTGCCGATGCACCTCGACACCCTCCTGCTGCCACTGTATCCTGTTCCAGCTGCAGCTCCTGCTGTGACGAACAGCCACACACACCTTGCAGCCTTCTCCTCTACTCACTGCAGTCTGCTGTATCCTTGTGAGACTGCCATTAATCTCATTGTCTTTGCCAGACTCCTTGCTATCCCCAGGCGGGGACCGATTGAACTCTTCCTCCCTCCTCTTCCTCCTCCTCCTCCTTCTCATCACTCTCCTCTAGCCCAACCATCACCCCTTTCCTGTTAGGGTTGGGAGGACATGGCCGTTCCTGGCGTTGCCTCCACTTCCGTCTCCAAATCTCGTTATCACTACGTTTTAGGCTGCGGAAGTTGTCGACCCCCCTGTCTTCGGGATTCTCCCTATAGGTGTCTTTCTCAAACAAGCTCAGCGAGCCACCTTGTTGTCTGACAGCTGCACTCCCTGAGGTAGATGGAGGGGAACGTGCACAGCTGGAGCCTTGTCACATCAAGTAAACCCCCAACCTTCTTCTTCTTAACATTGACGAGCTGCATGTTCCCAGTGGATATAAACGACGAGCTGCATGTTCCCAGTGGATATAAACAAACTTTTCATTATCTAGCTTGTTCCTACGGTCTGAGTGCCCAAGATCGGTGGTGAGCAAGTTTTGCTCTAATGGGGTAGCTGTACTCCACATAGCTATCACGCATACTGCAATCTTCTGCAGCTTTCCGCGACTCTTCCCATGGCATGGCAGCTCAATTAGTCTGGTTGCAGTGTGCTTGGTGAGATAGCTGTCCTACTTGGCAAAGTCAGTCCACAAGCTGTCCCAATCCTTGAGGGATTTGTGTGATTCCCCCGCCAGGTCATTGTGACATACTTTCGGGCCCTCCCACAGCCCCAATGGCCCCTTGGCCCTCCCACCTCGTGGGATTCGGGAGGGAGTGTGCTGCATGCAACGGCTGCCTCACCATCTTGCCTTGATCCTTCACCGTTTTTGCAATCGATTGCTGCGGTGCCACTCAGATCCATTTTCCTCAGCCGCTCGTGGATGGGTTCAACAACCTCCATGTCCTTCTTCAACTCCTGCCACCATCTTCCTCAGCAGGTCGTAGATCGGTTCCACAGCCTTCACAACCTTCTTCTCCAATTCCGGCCACCACTCCTCGGACCAGATTGTGAGGCAAGTGTTGTCGGCCCTTTTACGCATCTTTTTTCTCGATCTCCTACCACCTGTCCTTCATCTCCTACAACACCCTTGTCCTATGTAGTAACATCCGAAGCACAAGGAACACAAAAGGCAAAGCGACCTTACGTCAGACCTTGAGCACTCATGCTACAGTGACAGGGGCTGAGCGTGGCTCTTCTATGCACTTTATCATTGTTTCCGCCCTCCTTTGAATCTGATCAGCGCACAGCTCCTCGCAGGTCTCTTTTAGGACCAGGTTCAGGCAGGGAGCAGCATATGGAACCATAGGATTGTGAGTATACAAAAGCACCACAAAATTGCTTAGGTCTAAGCAATTATGTGGTGCTTTTGTCTACTCACAATCCTGGCAGCCTGCTTGTTCTGTTCGTGTTATCCGTGCACAATGTCTTCACTCTATGCGTCACTGTCTTCTTGCACTTCGTCATGTCAACCACCCCGCTCCCCTTATCATCACTGAAGTTCGTAATGAGCCAGAAGCTGCAGCCCCTGATGTCCCAGTCCTCCATCAGCGGCCTCTCGTCCTCGTCGATTCGCTCGTAGACGAGATGCCACATTGCTGTCACAAAGTTGGACGGGTTCACCTACTGCCTCTTCTCGTCCAGCTGCAAATACAACTCGTGCAGCTTCTGCGTCCTGTCCCCTCATGCATGGTTTTATGGTGCCTCATGTTGAAACAGCTGCTATGGCCATGCGGTATTCAACCTCTGCTGTAAAGCATTCTCCATCCACCTCTTGATGGAAGCCTGCGTCAACTTCCCAGAACCCTGTCCTCTTACAGATCCGACGCCTGAGCGCCTTGCAGCTCCCTAGCCCACACTTTCCTTTCCCTTACCTATCCCCTTCCCCTTCCCACCCACCCCTTCCCCAGTTGCCACCACCCCTCTTCGTGGAGCCATTGGCACCCCCTAATGGACTGCGGCCCCTTCTCCGTCGCTTGGCAAGGGGAAGATTTAGAAAAGAAAGAAGACGAAGAAGAAGACAAGAAGACGGTGAAGAAGAAGAAGAAGGAGGAGGAGGAGGAGGAGGAGAAGATGATGATGATGATGATGATGATGATGATGATGATGATAAAGACAAGAAGATGGTGAAGAAGAAAAGAGGAATGGATGAATGGATGGATAAATGGATGGATGAATGGCAAGTTGGGGGATATGGATGAATGGATGAAGATGGGGGAGTTGGTGGATGGATGGATGGTGAGATAGGGGAAATGGATGGATGGATGGATAGATCGATGGCACAATAGAGGGGAGGAGTGCGGCAATGGGTGGAAGGAGGTGCTGTGATGGGTGGGACAAGGGGGAGGGTGTGTGATGAGAGATATTTCTCTCTATCACTCTTGCAAGACCACAACAATAACGATGAGCAGTAGTAGTAGTCGTAGTATTAGCAGCAGTAGTGGTACCAATAGTAGTGAGAAAAAGAAGAAGTCCCCAACGGAAGTCCCCAACGGAAGTCCCTCTTTTTTCCTTCTTTTTCCACCTCGCTGAACGCATTCAGATAAGAAGAGCACCAGCAACAGAGGAGGAGGAGGAGGAGGAGGAGGAGGAGGAGAGAAGAAGAAGCAGTCGAAGGTCGCGGTATGGGTGCCAGGAAGGAGAGGTTGTGCAATGGGTGGGTGGAGAGGGAGGTCGTGCAGCGGGTGAGAGGAGATGGTGGTCATGAGATCAGCGCTGGGAGAAATGTCACGATGGATGGGAGATGGGCGCTGGGGGAGGTCGATCTAGGGGGGGACATCGGGTGTGGGGGGGGGGGAAGTTTGCATGATGGGTGACCTATTTTGGTCTTCCTCACAACAAGGAGGAACATGTTTTTTTCATTTTTTAATAACTTCGCAGCAGAATTTTTTTTTTCAAAATTTCTTGCCGAATGCGTTCGCAGAAGAAGAGCACCAGCAATGAGAAAGGAGGAGGAGGAGAGGAGGAGAGGAGGAGGAGAAGGAGGACTCGCCTTGGTGAGATGGTGGCGAGGACTTGGCAGGGTCTTGATGGTGACAACACGAGGGAAGGGCTTGACGATGGGAACATGGCAATGGTGACGATGTGGTTTGCGGGTCTTCACAATAGTGAGACAAAGGGAAGGGCTTCACAACGGTTGGATTCTGATGCCGTGGGCATTCAACATCCAATTCCCATGCAAAGTTGCATACCTCGTGCTGTAACGCGGTCAGATCACGGCTGTCAATCCTCGATCATCAACTTTCGCGATGATCTAGATGTTGGAAAAAGACAGAGGGGGCCTGTAGAGCCCCACAATGGTTTTTTAACTTTTTTGGGATAATTTTCAAAATACCCCCATAAATGAGATAAATGCCAAAATGTCCCTGAAAGATGTGGGTAGAGCGGAATGCCCTTTTGGGCCGAAATCTTTGTGTTGTGCCCCTGTCAGGCGGGCGTACAACTTTGCAATCTGGACCTCCCCGTTTGGGCCTTGGCCTTTCGCAATAGCGCCTAGGAAAAGTTGGCAACTACTGGGGCATTTTGCAAAGTTGGACGGTACTGGGTAGGGGTATATTGCGAAGATGGGGGTCCAACAGATGCTAGGGGCGCATTTCACAAACTATTTTTTTTGTCAGAGGGGTATTCCGCGCTACCCACATCTTTTAGGGGCATTTTGGCATGTATCTCGACTTATGGGGGTATTTTGCAAATTATCCCTTGTTTTTTTTAAGCACCCGGTGGAACTCTGGACCTGTTGGCAGCTGCCAGGTCCTCTAGTGGGCCCAAAAAGAAGGCTGCCGATCGTATTCGGGCATGACCTTCAAGTCCCTGTGTCCCAAAAATCAATCTACGTTTCCATAGCAAACACGATGGCAGTCTCAAGTACCTTCCTGTGAGTGCAATAATGTCAGGTTCTATCACCCTTTGAAAAGGAAAAAGAGAAAAGATGACGAGTCTTCTCACCCTCCTCTTCATTGTCTGCAATGGAGGCTGGAGTTTGCTTCTTCAGAGTCTTCACCCATTGTCTCATTATCTTCCTAACTGGTTGGCGGGCGGGTTGTTATGATGTGGTGTTGGCAGAGTAGGGGGAGTTGCCATATGCGAATCGTCAGTGGCTGTAAATGAAACGAAGGGGTCTTCAGGTGCAGTGCCCTCGCCTGTAGACGGTCCAGCTCCTGCAGCCTCGGAAACATCAGCTCCTGGAGAACCAGGGACCTCTGCACCAGCTGGAACTGGTCCTAAAGGTCCTCCCTGCGATTCTCAGCACGAGGGAATGGCAGGGCATGAGCTCGGTTCTTTGCCTGCTCATGCTGTTCAGCAGCACATCTCCTCCCGAGAGGGTAATGTCCCGCATATTCCTGCTAACGGTGGAAGTCCGGCACACGAGGTAGTGGAACAGAAGGCGAGCCCTGCTGGTAGCATATCAAGGGACGACATCCCTGTAGCTGGTCTGCGATCAGATGACAATGGAAAGGTGGAAGCCGCGTGGGATCCACTTGCATCTGTGGCAGCTGTGTCAAAAGCAAGTGACGCGACAATATTGAGTGAAGGGACTCTAAGAACTGCAGGCCAAACACAGAGCTTCCAAGAACAGTGCAAAGACGAGCATGTGAATCCGGGGAGTCCCCGCTTTGACAATCGGCAAGGTGACGGAGAGACAGAGGCCATCTGCAGCACGTACAACACGTACCAAAACTTGCTCATACCACCTCGTTCTCCTCCATCCGCACCACCATTGTATGATCCCCCTCCTTCGTCCACCGCGTATTCTGCATGTCAGCTTGGAGCAAGTGCAAGCTCACATGCGACATACCGTCTGCAGTCGTCTACCAGCGATCCATCGTCGGCTGCGGAGGTTCAGCTGGCGTCAGGCGCGTGGAGTTCGCCTCAAGGAGGAGACCAAAAGTCACCATCGCTGAATGGGCACCTCTTCTCGTCGCCATATTCACATCCCCTTCCAACAGCTGACCATCCAGTACGATCATCCCACATGTTCTATGAGCCATATTCATCGCTGTCGGACATGTTGCACTTGCCTCTGGTGAATCAGAACGCAGCTGCGCACCACCAACACCAGAACGCAGCTGCGCATTTCCAACACCAGAGCGCAGCTGCACACCTCCAACACCAGAACGCAGCTGCGCACCTCCAACACCAGAACGCAGCTGTGCACCTCCAATCACTTTATCAAGAGCCAATGGCAGCACAAGATCCGACTTCGCTGTCCTCAGGTCATCATCAGACACCGCCCGGCCAACCCTCTACTTGCTATACCCAGTCTCATCCTCACATCTATTCTCATCCTTGCACTGATTCTCATTCTCACATGCACCCACATCCTGATGGTGAGCATCCTCCTCCCCATCCTGACCCTCGCACCCACTCTCATTCTTCTGTGCATCCGCATCCTGATCGTGAGCTTCATCCTCCTCATGATCCTCACAGTCGTCGTCATCAAGATGCTTGTCACGATCACCACTCTCATGCTCATCCTCCTCATCAAGATGCTTGTCACGATCACCACTCTCATGCTCATCCTCCTCATCAACCCCCTCATTATGAATCTCTCCAACAGCTACATCATCCATCACCTGCTCCATATCATCAACCAGCAGCACCAACATCATCACACCACCATTCGCCAACTCTGGCACAACACTACTCGACCGCGCCGCCGCCGCCTCCACAAAATATGTCACCCTCACCATCCATAGATCAGTATTCATCACCTGCACCTGGGCCTCCCCCCCTTCCTCATCATCATCAGCATCCTCCTCTGGCTTCATGTCATACGGCCTATCTAAACCCACAGCCATTGTATCCGTCCTCAATGCACTCAGGGGAACATCATGGGAGCCATCATCATCAACATTCACAGCACCATTATCATACCCTAGCTCCTGCGGGACTGCCAGCCTGGACCCATCATGTCCCCGGGCCTGTCCCTTCATGGTCAGGTGCTCTGCTGTCTCATGGCACCGCATGTCTGTCATGTACTCCCTTGGTGGCACCCCCACCCCCCACAGTACCTTCCCAAGCGACAAACCAGGTGCCCCGCCCTTCAGAGCAACCAACTCATCATCCACTCTCACATCACTCCACACCCGCTCATCCTCCAGCTTATCCATCATCCACGCTGTTGCCGATATGTCAGAATTGCAGCAGCCCCGAGGTTGTGCCGTTCTTCCATCATTCTAGCTTCCCTTTGTGGCACAATCATCCGCCACCTATCCCACTTGCACACCCCCAGTCAGCACAGTGTTGGTATGCTGCTCTGGACCATAGAAACAGTTCCTGGAATTGGCACCGGAGCTGGAACAGGGACCATGGAGAGAAATCCAGGGTAACGAGCTCGTCAACACACGGGTGCGGCGGAGGCATTGCACGGCAGCAAACCCAGCAGCAGGTAATTTTTGAAAGTTGTGTGTTGATAAGCAGACCTGAGTTCGAATTGTGATGATGAATAAAAAAATTCTTAATGACCTGTGACTGTTCAGTTTGACCATGATACCTAAAAACTGCCCCCCCCTTAGACATAAATTAACTCCTTTTGCTCATGAAAAATGACATGAATAAAATAATTCTGAATTACCTAGCCGCTGTCATTGTTATCTTGATGATGCTCCTCCAGGAAATTGCCCATTCGTCTGAAAATTTTTGTGCTGGGGTCAGAAAGAGGAGGAAAAGCTCCCCCTGCCCACAGTTGAACATGCTGGCTATGGTTGATGACTTGTCCATGTCCATCCCTCAAGTGAGCTCGAGCTTGGTCTTGAGCAACACCGACTCTTGTTTGGCACTGATGCTGTTTCTTTTCTTTTCTTTTCTTTTCTTTTCTTTTCTTTTCTTTTCCCTTTTTTGGCATTTGATGCTGTTTTATTCTGTTGGATACATTGTTTGGTTGGCGAGAACATCTTGACAGGTTACGGCGATGTTTCTGAATGATGTTTCTGAAGTTTTGGACGGTAGATTTGATGTTGTGGTCATCTTCTCGATGACGAGAGCATTCGTTTCAAATTTAAAAGTTGAAAGTTAAAACATTGATTATAAAAAAAATGGAGGAGAAGGTGGGGGGCAGGGGGGGAGTGCACGTTTTCTGTGAGTGGTGGTAGGGATGGTATTTCAAGGCTCCGAGGATGGCCTTTCGTTCTTTGTAAGAAAGTGTATAGAAAAAGGGCAAAGACCCAAAAAGGGGAGAAAGGAACGAGTGTAGCAAAAGAGAGTATAGTTGGCATGACTTTTTCACTTTATCAATCCAAAGCTGTGTCTTGTTTGTCTCCAAATCTGTGCCAGCTAGCGCTGTGAATGTCATTCCATGTTTCCTTCCCCTATTTAACATCTCGGCATCCAACAGGCGCCGCATATTGCTGACACATGTGTTTTTCTGTCTTGGTTATTTGATTGATCCAAAGGGTGGAACGGAGAGTGGACCGGTGGCAGATTCGTCTACATGGGGTGAAGTGGTATCAGCAGGGCAGAGGAACCTACCACAGGGTATGGGCATCGCTGATCGAGATCCGGCAGCTCGTTGCTCTCCAGAGCATGCAGCTGTCACTGGCGTGACTGATGGCATCGTCGACTCTGCGAGAAGACTGCTCGCTACAATGAGTTGTGAAGGTGAGCGAATTTAAACTCTCCTGAGTTGCGAGTTCAGATTGCGAAGTGAGTCGAGTTGGAGAGCTGTATGACGACTTGTTGATTGGCGACCTGGATACGATAACTCGTTGACTTCAGGGGTGTGTGGTTAGATTCACTACAAATTGTTCTTTTGCTTGTCTGATGATGCTCAAATTCGATCTTTCAACGCTTGTCACCAAAGAGCGGCGAAATCAGAGCCATCGTAAATACCCCAGAGTTAAAAACAGCGAAGAAGTAAGAGCCATCGTAAACACCCCAGAGTTAAAAACAGCGAAGAAGTAAGAGCTATCGTGAACACCCCAGGTTAAAAAACAGCGAAGAAGTAAGAGCCATCGTGAACACTGCAGAGTTAAAAAAACAGCGAAGAAGTAAGAGCCATCGTAAACGCCCCAGAGTTTGAACCCCGTGCCTGGGGCCGAGTCAGATGTGATGTGCCTGCTCAAGGCTGGAAGTGAGCCCAGTGCTCACGGCGGGTGAAAAAGAAAGAGGCCCGACCTCTCGTGTCTACCACCGTAGATGGACTCGTTACTCTCCCACGAAGACAACCCACTAGCGTCTTCCCTTGAGTAAAACATACAGTTATAGTTGTATTCGAGCCAACTCTCAGTCTAGATGCATCGGAAGGTGGTAATGTCTCACTTCATGCTCCTGGATGTGTGAGCTGAGAGTCGGGAATTATCGTCTTTCCAGTCTCTACTCAATTGATGCTGGCATAATCCTAAGGAAAAAAATCTCACTTGTGCATCCTAGTGATCTGATTCTCTTTCTTGTTATTTTCCTCCTTTTTTCTTCTGTTTTTTTTTTAAAAATGGTGACAGCCTTGTGATAGCGTCAACGAGCTGAGCCGGCCAAGGTAACTCGTAATTATTCTGCTCATCTGATTGGGTCTGTATTCAACAGTTTGCCGGTGTGCCAACTGAGCTTGACTCGTCGGTTCTGATTCTCTTTGTAGAAAGAGAGGGAAGTGCCCTTCTCCTCCAAATTTTTTGCAATGCAAGCTTCAGCTTTCTTGGGACTGAGTTGTGTTGGCCGAGTTCCACCAGCTGAACCTCCCGGGCTGCTGGGGTGGCCTGGCCCGGACAGGATTGGACACGGTCCCAAGCACGGTCTTGGGCAAGAGCCTGGGCAGCCGCAACACACTCTCAAAAAAAAAGAGAGAAAAGAATGAAGATGTAAAAACATGCAATCTCTGTCTTTGTGTGAAATATGCCAATCGTAGTACTTTTGGCTGAGGGTCACTTCTTGTCACCACATTGAAATTAAAAAAAATATACGCATATGGGCCTCACTCCACTACAAAACACTCATGTGCATCTGGATCTCATAATCGTTGTGATTCGCTCGAAAATGCGTGGGATGTCGAGTGGTGGAGCGAGGCCCTGTTTTGCTCCTTGTTGCTAAAGGTAGACTCGAGAGAGTCAAAACTCTTGTGGGCTGGTGCGCCAGGCTGGGCAAGATGCACTGGTGCGCTAACTTCGCATGGGGGCGGTATTGGTTGGAACCACCAGTACACCCGAGCCTCCTTTCGCCAAGTTGGAATCGCCCGTGGTGCTAATACGCTTTGCCGAAACGCCAGTGTGCCACCATTTTCTTTGCCCTTTTTTTTTTCTTTGTTTTTTTGAGTTTTCGTTGCCTTTGGCTGGTGCCGCCAGCCATTTTGGTCTGATAGCTCTGTTCATCCGAGGTTTTCGGAACGACTCGTTTTCGGTTCCCAAGTTTGCGTTGCCTGTGTACTTGGGGTTTAAGACCCCCTTTAAACCACTAGTACCTCTGCAGGTTGGGAAAATAGGAGGGCCTCGGGTGGGCCTCCCATCTTTTAGGAGGGCTGACATGAAACGACGGCCGCCGATGAGATGTATCAACGGCGGCTGTCGACGGGCCAAGCCCCCTCCATTAGCAGGATTTTGCAGCAAATTTTATCTCTTTTTTGCTGCTCTAGGTTGCGGAGCTTATTTATTAGCCTTAATAGGAGTAGTAACCAGCGTTATTAGTTGAATTAACCCGAGTGAGTTGCTAAGAAACTCTGAGTAAATTTTTGACAAAAGTTAGCCAGTTGACTATCGATTTGTTCAGTGATTGTTTTTTGTTGTGCAATAGCAGAAAGCAAACTTGGATCAATTGATTTCAACAACTCTGGCAGCTGAGCATGTAGGTGTGTGTTTCAGTTCCTTGTAGTTGACTCTACTTCAGGGTACTGTGGCACCCTGGTTGCCCGGGCTTGTCACCGGCGATACTTGGTACTTTACTTGGGAGCAACTTGCCCTCCTCTCGGGCACTCGGTAGAGAGGCCAGTATGTTCACTTGCCCCTAGGCTTCTCCAAGTCGAAAGGAAAGAAGAAGGGAAGGGGGGGGGTTGGGGGGGCCGGGGGTGGGTGGGGGGCGGGAGCAGGGAGGAAAGGGGTGACGATAGCCATGAACACTGTTGTATCTGTCAAGATTTGATCTCGTGATTTGTTTACTGAAGAGTTGCATGGGTGTAGTGTACGGTTTGTCATTCGGTCATAAAACAGGTACTTCGTTGAGTATGCTTTACACTTTTTCTTCTTTTCATAAGGGCGATGACCTTGCGATATCATCGCCTAGCTGACGGCCCCCAGGTAATTCAGGTATTTTATTTATCTGGTTCCATCTAGTGAAACGCTTTTCACCTTAGCAGCAGCAGATGCAGATCCCAGGGCTTGGTCCCTAGGCCTTACCACACCCGTGTACAGCATCGAGTCGGCCCCTGTGTGTGTTTGAACCCGTGACCTGTGTTATGGTAGTTGACTGAAGTTTGTCGTAGGTCTGTATAGCAGTAGGGGTTCGATCTGTAGGTCTGTCAAGTAGGGGTCATAGTTGATTGTAGTTCTGAAAGGTCAAGGTCGTAGCTGCTAGTGTCCTGAAAGGTCAAGGTCGTAGCTGCTACAGTCTTGAAAGGCCAAGTCCGCAAACTTCCGGAAGGTCCGGAAGTGGCCTTCCAAGTTTCTTCTCACAAGCAGGCCAGAGGCAAGTGGGCAAGTGGTGAGTCCAACTTCGCTTAGTCAGCGGTACCCAGTCCCAGTCTCACTTTGTACAGTCAGCGAGTACCATGAGGGACTGTGTGCACCATGGGCCCGGTGGAAAAGGGCAGACCAATGACTTACAGAAGTATAAATCAAGAGGCAGCGTCCAGCCAGTCATTTATTCCTGCGCGAGCCATGCGGAAGTGCTGCCTGAGCGTCTTGCGCGAGGTGGTCTGCAGAGGCCTGAAGTCGAAGTGGGCTGAAGGGGAGTTAGCGCAGCCATAGCTGCTTGTAGTTAGTGGTAGTTGGCAGCCATAGCTGCCATAGCTAGGGATAGGTGTTTGTGCATGTGTGTTACAGAGTGTGTGCGTGGGGTATTCGGGGTGATTTAGAGTGAAGTGTGTCCGAACAGTGGTATTGGACACAGTGACGAGAGTTGGGATGTACAGGCGCTTATGCGCCATAGCCTGTTGAAGCGAGCTTGCATCTGAACTGTGTCCGCGGTTTCCATATCTCTGAGCTTTGAGTGGGCGCCCTGGCTCCAGTCTGCTTTACCATCTGTTTGCATGTATGTGAAGTGGAAAAGAAAGCGATTCTGATTGCACTAGATTCGAACTCAGGTGTGCGTTTCAACTTTCAAGTGTTTATGGACGTACCGACTGGGCTGGGCCCGTTTTGTGAGTATATGCTCTAGGCAACTTGCGTCCAGGAGAAGGTTTTCTCAGGTTACGCTTTGTCAACATCCTTCTGGATTCTTGCTTCCTTTTTTTTTTTTTTTTTTTGGTTTTTTGTTTTTCCCTTTGCTTTTCCTATTCAGGCACATGTGTGACTATTGCTTTGTATGTTTCGTCCACCAGGTGAAAATCCCTTCCTGAGTTCAACCAGCGTAGCAAGTCAAGATGTCGGTATGGCCAATCTTCTCAAGGCATGGTTCTTCGCCGGGGTGTTCACGGGCAGGTAATTTCTTCTCTTGCCCCCCCAGACTCGCCGGGTTGATGTTTTGCAGTCCCCTGTCCCTCAACCGCTCCCCATCTTCTTCCCTTTCCTTTGCATCGTCTTCCCTCCCCTCCCTGCTCATCAACTCAATCTGATCCTTCGTGCATCGACTCGATTTCTTCTCTTGATAACGACAATGCACACATCCCACATGTGAATGCTAATGTCATGGATAGTCGGTCCAGCGTAAGTGCGTAGTCAGTAACCTCTCTCTCTCTCTCTCTCTCTCTCTCTCTCTCTCTCTCCCACACACACACACAATTCTAAAAGATGTGCTGAAGGACAGTCAGACAGACTTCTGCTTTGGAGATCGATCTCTTGCCAAGCACAGTATTGACCTGAAGAAACAAGGGAGATTAATAGATTATTATTATTATTGACTAAGGCTTGGACTCCCTTGGAGATAGATCTCTTGCCAAGTACAGTATTGAAGGGTGACCTGAAGAAAGAAGGGTGACCTGAAGAAAGAAGGGAGATTATGATTAACAGTCACCTGAAGAAAAGCTCACATGCGCAAAACTTTTGAAAGCACTGTATTGAACTGAAGAAAGAATGGAAATTTATTATTAACTGAGTTAAAACTTAAAACTACATTAGCAGAACTTTTGAAGGAGAAAAAAGGAAAAGGAATTTAAAGGATTGTATTCGTTGGTAGACCCCCCTTTGGTTATCACATCAGTGTGGGCGAGACTTCAGGGTTAGCCGCTTGTGCGCAGACGCAGACTTGATCCCGTCTGTTCCTGTGTAGGCTCCTATGAGGGCATCTTAGACATGACGATTTCGATTTTGGTTATTTGAATGTTGAACTGTGCAGTTTTACTTATTTTAAATTTATGGGGAAACTACGCGGGAGTCACAAAAACGAGTTATAATTGCACTATGGGCCAAGATACAGTTTCGAGTTGCAGTTCGGGCAATGTATACAACCCAGCTTTTTGGCCAGGTAGGGTGCATGAAGTGCAATCGCGAACTGTATCTTGCCTCATAGTGCAATTGTAACTTTTTGTTTTTGTGACTCTACTGAAGTTACCCCTTAAATTATTCATGAGCAATAGGAAAGAACAGCTCTTGCAATGATTGTTTGCACTTAGTTTTTTCTCTCTCATGCCAGTGGTCCTCCTTCCTACACAGTGAGTAGCTTTCCCCCCCTGGTAATTTTCTGAGACTTCATGTTCGTAACCTTGTACGCAAATTGTTCACATGTTCATCACCTGGGGTTCTTCATCTCTGAACCTACATTCATTATAGCTGCATGTATGTAGACTGAAAGGTGCCCAAAATACAGCTATAATGACAGGATGTCAGTGTTGTTGCATACCCCAACGGTCGGCGCCCCTTGACTGGTCGGCTGCCGACCAGCCGACCAGCCGACCAGCCAACCGGCCGGCTGGTTGTCACCCACCGGTCAGGGGTTGTCGGC